ATTAATTATCTCTGAGACGTCTGTCAACAACAATTTAAGTTATTCATACAACTGTAAAATATAAGAATGGATCGCACGAGTATTTTCAACTTCTAAGAGTGCCCAACAAGATCAACGGACTTACATCAGCAGAGGATAGAGGAGTTGGCAAAGTTCCTCAAGGCTGTAGTTAGAGCAATGGCCCTAAATCTTAACTACTGTGTTTCCAAAAGTACCAAAAGAGGTGAATCCGCACCTCACTTTTACTTAAAAAAAAAAGTTTTCTTTTAATACTACAAAATTATTATTTTATTATTCAAAATGTATTTGTAATTTTGTAAGGATAAAATCATGTGGCCCTATTGAATTTCGTATGTACAATATTTCAATTATATCTTTTATTTTATACCTCTTATCTGTTTAGCATTGTTGTAGACCTACATAGAGGGAACACGATAAGTTGAAGACGACGGCGATGACGTCAAAATATGATTCATAGCCGACGACATTGACAACGCATCATGCCAACAAGTCGTCAAGCCGTCAAGTCGTCAAACAATCAACTAGTCAGTTAAGCGATGCCAATCCATTGAAGTTGATTGCTTTGAGTGGTTTTTGTTGCGGTTTATGAAGATACGTACTTATAGACCTCAAAATTGTACAATCATGTCCCGTCAATGCGAGCGGGCATTAAAGCAAATGATGGGCACCAACTTTGCATAGCATTGGTAATGCCAATAATAATAATGATTATATTTGGTAGCCTTATAATGTAAAATGTGCGATAATAGCTAACAAGTTTCGTTTCTTACAACAAGATAAATGCATTTACCTTTTTTTTTTGCGAATTATTGATATTGATAAAAGCTATAATCAAGCTCGATAAAAATAAAAATTGTATATACTTAATTCCATGTTTCAGGAACCAACCACAAGCAACAGAAACAGAAACACATACAGAGACAGAGACCGGCAATTACTCAAGCATTCCATAAATTACAGTATATTCATAAAACGTGGTTACGCTCGGTTGAATTTTCGAACCCATTTTCGGCATGATGTTGAAAATCAGTTGATCTTTTTTTCAAGCCGACAGCAGCGTGGCATGAAATGAACATAAAACCACAAGGGATATTTAAAATTCAGCGAAATCAATATGCTCTTTCACCTTCGACTTTGGTTGAGTATATAGACAGCGTCCATTTTGTTTGCTATGTACACGATATATTGAAAATCGGAGGGAAGTCAAGTCGACACAGCAGAGCTTGCCTACAAAATAAGCTTAAACCGCAAACTAATGAAGCGACCCGGCTACGGTTACGGGGTATGGGGGCTACGGGCAAAATGTGCACGGTGAGCCTATGGGCGTTTGGAGACGGCATGACGACGGATTGGACAGTGTGGGTTTTTCGGTGATGGTTCAAAAGACTGGACGCTGGTCTGGTCGCTGGTCTCTGGAGCATAAACCGCCGACGTTGCTGCTGCTGCGGTTTGCGGTTCTTTCTGTGCCTGATGCAATTGTTCGTGCTACCGCAAATCTCCATATACACACACAAACACACAGTCAAACACACTCGCATTCATTTTCCAAAATGGCGTCACCGTTTGCTGCTGCTCTCGGTTGTTGGACAAAACAGTAAAGCCGCAGGGGATCCCAAACGTGATGCAGATGCATTTAAATTTCAACTCACGACTCGATGCCGTGGGCGTACATTAAGACATGGGCGTGGCACCAGCTGTCGAATGCAACTAGCAGCATTAAGCTTTGAAATAAATATACGGAATAGCTATCCTAACTTCGTTCGTTCACTCATTCGTTTCTGCCCGCCACCTATCGCATTCAGGATTTATGTGCAGCTTATGAAACTTTGGCGTAGATACATACAGTGAGCACACCCAAATGAAAACGATTTGTGGGTGTTATCGAAGGGATTACAGTTTAAGATTGATTATATATTCTTTTATATATAATATTAATATAGAGGAAAGTTTTTAACTCAACCTAGCATCAGACAGAATTAATTTAAATTTATGGGACTTTAGGATGTGAAAAGATTAAAAAAAAAAAAGTGAACTTATTCAACTTAATTATTTCCCAAAATATACTGCTCAAATTCCACAAATTGGTAAAACAAAATTAAATTATAACACTTTTAGGGGGGAAATTAAATCGGAAACGGAACCGTTGACCACTGAGGAAGTTGAAATTCGACATCCTCCAATTAATCCAGCCAGGGAATTAAAACCGGAACCGCAATTAACAGAATGTAACTCAGAACCAGAATCAATGCTTTGATTATCTGCTTTGCAGACATTTCGACTCTCTAAAATTATTTGAATTTCATTACGTTGTAATTTACGAGTGAACACTGTACTTTGGCAGGCATTACAGACGTGCTTCAATTTAAAGTTACGTCAACTTGTGTCGGTTGCCAGTGCCTTTTTATTGTGCGTTATAATCCGCTTTATGTGATCGGATTATGTCCTGTGCTGCGCCTAATCCCACCAGTCGGTCCCGGGGGGAACCGGAGGAACCCACCCTATGTACAGTTCAACTGATCCGTTCAGCCGTAGTAAACTTCAATTACGCACGCTCTGTGGTTGGATTAAGGCGTCCCAGCCATGCTCACAAAAAAAAAGTAATTAAAATGTGTATCTGGTTAATACACACACAGAAAGAGAGAGATAGAGAGAGAAAGGGAGAGAACGGAAGCAGGTGGCTGACAGGTGTGCGCAGGACAGACGGGAAGGCCAGTTGAAAGTGAAAAGCGCCGTTTCCCAAGATCTGTTCGTTTAGATTGCCCCCGCCCGGGCTATAAAGTTAATTAGTAACTTTTTCGGATAATGCCACTATTTACTACTACTACTCTTCTCATTCTTCTCACTTCATCCACTCTACAAATATATAGTATGTATGTTTGTGTGTATATTACGTCCCTCGGCTCGGTCATCGGCACTTTGCTTTGCTTGCATATTCTAGTGAAATTAGAGTTAATTGCACATCATTAAAAGCAAATTCTTGGAATTAATTTGATGTTTCGTCGAAAGGCAACAAAAACAACAACGCACTGGCAATAAACAAAATGGCTGTCCAGCTGACGCCAAAAACTCGCCAGCTGCCCCATTCATTATGGTATGTCTCAGATTCAACGAGTAATTACAACTTGCAACACTCACCACACGGTGCTCGATAGGAAGAATGACTTAGGTTAACTATATATTTGAATGCTATCTATTACTCAGATTATGATATGCTCTCATTTTGATTAGGAAATGCTCAAATTGATCACTGCTGTAGTTAGTATTTATAATCTACCCAATCCACATGCTTTTTTATAATTTCTTAATTCATTATAATCAGATCCCTCACCGTCGATACATCATTTCAAAAATTCAACTTTAATAGTAAGTGGGCAATTATCATATCATATTCACTGTGTCTGGATCTGTGACAGCTGTCACTTTGCATGACAATCTGTAAGAAGGGGGATTGTTATAAAACTAGTGAGTACTAGTAAGCCAGACTACCGAGTGCACAGTATTTGCCTTAACCAAGCTACCAACGATTGGGCAACGCCATTTTGTGTTTTTGTCGGCCATTATTAATCTCCTTTGCAGCACAATACAAAAGAAATTTAAAATATAAATATGAAGTTAAATAAACGAATAAGAGGCATAGAAGAGCGGGAAAAAAGACTCCATACACTGTCCCCTAGAAGCACACAAACATACGGCTTGCATGATTGACGTTTGCACTGAATGAGTGCACGTCATTTACAGTTAACGTATGTGTGTGCGTGCATTTGTGGCACTCAAAACGTTCGCGCGCCACTCGCGTGTTTTTATTTGTCTGTGTGTGGATCTGAATGTATATTAGAAGATCTCACATTCGTGGCGCTCAAGCGAGGCGAGAGCATAGCAAACACACACACACGCACATGCAAACGTAAAAAGAGACTTGTCATTTCGGCAGCAGCCGCTGCAGCTGATCTTGATGGAGAGCCCTCTGCGGTAAAAAGTGTGAGAGAGAGGAAAAGAGTGTTATTTTATTGCTGTCTTTGTAGTTACATATTTGCTTTGCCTTTCACACCAAAACAGCAAAACCAGAAACCGAACGAACAAACGAACGAACACAAACAGCACGAGACTTGAACACGAAAGTGAAAAAAACAGCAAAGTTTGTGTGTGCTTTTTGCATACATATGCATATATATCCATGTGTTCATGTGTGTGTGTGTCTGTGTTTGTTTGTGTGGGTTATTTCTCTGCATTTGTTTGTTATTACAGTTAGAGTTGTTTGTTGTTATTGCATGGGAAAAGATAACGTACGCAATTGCACGAGACAATGCGCATTTCTGTATTGTATTTGTATTTATTGATAAGCAGAATATGTAATTGATAAGCTTATATTCAACAGTGTTGACAGAAAAAAATAAAAATAATAATAATGTTTAGAGAGTATTTAAATTAGTATATGAATTTGGCTTTCATTCGCAAAGATCGCCCGGTTTTTAAATCGATCAGAGAATTGCCAGTTTTATGTAAATTCCAAACATACAAATTTAAAAAAGTTTATGCGAGAGGCATGAAAAAAATCCCAATATGACGAGAGAAATTATAATTTAGTGGCATTTTCAAATACGTCCTTGATTCTCATTTTCAAAGAAAAAGAGCAACAAAAAAAGCTGAATTGACAACACTGCTGTGTCTCTTATCGCACTGAATGCAGCGAGCAGAGTGAGCACGTGTCGCCCGCTCGGGTGTTAATAACCTCAACAAATATATTGTATTGTTAAAAAGTGAGACTGATGCCCATATTAGAGTTGAATTTTCTAGCTCACTAGTTCATTGTGAGCTTGATCTGAGACTAATGATGAATAAGAGTTTGAGTCTCTATTTCATTGGTTCATTTGGAGCACGATCTGAGACTGATCTCCATTAGAGTTGGAGTTGCTGGTTCAGTAGCTCATTTTGTGCTTGAATGAACGTTAATCGTGAACTAGATGTAAACAAAAACTTACCCGCTTCTCAGCACTGTCGCAAGGATTGCCAACGGACGAGGACGATGACGAGGATGTGGATGTTGTTGCCGCTGTGCTGGGCAAATGATTATTGATGGGTGGCAACACATCCGATGCCACCGAATCCAATTGCTCCTGCTTTATACCGGCGATCAGCGGCAGAAAATCATTCTTCAGATTCTCCAATTCCAAATCCATTTTTATGTTTTATTTAATTACTTTTTTTTTTTTTTTTGAGAGTGCGTTAAACCTTCTTTAGTTGTGGGCGTATTATTATTTTGTTGTTTGGGCGTAGTCTAATTTTAGCGCGTGAATTTTGTATTCACCAGCAGCTGGTACGCTTGGTGAACATAATTAGTTTTTTCAGGATATTTATTCCATTTCATTATTCATTTTTCATTGTTCATTCATCTCTGCAACACATACAAAAACAACGCAAAATTTGCTGGCTGCACACACACACATGCATACACGCAGAAGCAGCAAACACGCTCACACACTAACACACCACTACACAAACAAGTTACTTTGTGTGCACAAAATAGTTTCGCTTTCGTATGGTGGAAACTGAAAAATTGTTTGGGTTTCTTTTATTTAGCAAAACGTTTCAGTTATTATTGGCATTTTAATGTGTGTTTGTCTTTTTTTTCTCTTTTCAATTTGTTTTTACTGATGCATCATTTCATTTTCACCTTCAACTTCAACGAACGATTTTGGCCAAAAATTTTTCTCTCTACTCTTTTTGCACGAATTCAATTCTCACAGAGGCGAAAAACTTTCATTTAAATGTTTCGCATTACACGCTTTTTGCTATATTTGCCTTCGTTTGCCATTGCAATACACTTGCACGTTTATTTCCGCGGTTAGCACAATTGTTTATTTGTTTGTTGCGAATGAATATTTGTATTTTATTGGCAATTAAAATTGCTGGGAAAACACACACGGTCACGGCGTTTACTCTCCTTGGACGCTTCTTCTGTACAAAAATTTTCTACTCGCGTAGCCATTTTGGATTCGGCAGCGCTGCCAGACTTTTTGCACTTAAAGGTTGCCACACACGGTCAGACTTGTTAGTTTAAATTGAATTCAATTTCGCTTGTTTAACTAAATATGTATGTGGCACTAAAGTCTTATTATGTGAATATTTAATATAAATATATTTTTATCATATTGCTGTGTGCTTGTGGTTGAAAAATTTTGTTAGAGTTGTAGCACACTCCCATAATGCATGATGGAACGCAAGACATCATGCAACAGCTGTGTGTAACAACACGTGTGAAATTTTTTTATTGGGTTTTGTGTATTTTTGTATTGCTGTAAATAAATGCTACTGAGACGCTACACAAAGGCAGGTGAATTTTGAAATATAATATCAGTATGATTAGCCATAAAATAATGAATACCTCAAACAGTTAGCCTTCACTCCGAAATAAAGCGGTTCATTTGTGGTTTTCGGCACAAATCCTTTGCAGTTGCCATAAGCGAAGCACTCGACAAACTGCAAGAGCAGAAAATGGAACGACAAGCGCAAAAGGAGGCGGAGGATGAATCGGTGAAGGAGGCGAATCGCCTGAAACGCACACTGAAACGCAAGAAGTGGGTGGATTGGCACGCGCAGGATGCTGAAGATGCAGCAAATGGCATTAAGCGTGCGCCTTTTGATCCTGCGGATCGCATTAAACGCAAGAAAAGCGCAATTCTGTTGAGCTATTGTGGCGCCAACTATTATGGCATGCAACGCAACCCGGGCATGCAAACCATCGAGGAGGAGCTCTTCAAGGCAATGCTCAAGCACAACTGGATAACGGAGGATTCGTTCAAGCAGGTGCAAATTGCCAGCTTTCAACGTGCCGCACGCACCGACAAAGGTGTCTCTGCCGCCCGACAAGTCTGCTCCATCAAGCTGCGTAAGTAAAAAGCACAACTCCAAATATGATTTGTGTTTAATTCTCACTCAAATTCCACAGCGGATGAACTGGATTTGGTGGCTTTTAACAAGGATCTGCCAGAAACGATTCGTTTGTTTGGCGTTGAGCGCGTGACAAAGGGTTTCAATGCCAAGGAACAGTGCAATGCTAGAACTTATACCTACACGCTGCCCAGCATTGCGTTTGCCGGCTGCAACGAGCAGCAGAATCAGCAGGATCAGGCTACATTCCGCTTGACACCCGCGCTACATGAGCAGATTTGTGAGACTCTCAAGCTCTACGAGGGAACCAAAAACTTTCACAATTTCACCAGCAAAAAGTTGGTCACAACTTGTCAACTAACTAAATTATTTTTATTATTCTTAATTGTTTATTGCTTTCTAGAAACTTTTTGGATCCGTCCGCGAAGCGTTTCATCATGTCCTTTACGTCCAGCGCTCCCTTTCACAGTCCGCAGGGCATTGAGTTCGTTACGCTGCAGGTGAAGGGTCAGAGTTTTATGCTGCATCAGATACGCAAAATGGTCGGATTGGCCATTGCCATTGTCAGGGGCAATACGACAAGGATAACGCTGGAGCGCGCACTGACCGAGGAGCGTTTGGATTTGCCCATGGCACCGGGACTTGGCCTCGTGTTGGATACGGTGCACTATGAACGCTACAATGATCGCTATGGAAAGGATGGCATACATAAGCCACTGACATGGTCGGTACAGGAGCAGCAGGTCACTCAGTTTATAGAGCTGCACATCTATTCGAATATATATCGAACCGAGGCGGAGCAGTGCAACATGCTCGATTGGCTGAGCACGCTGCATTTTCACTCATACGACACCAGACGCGGAGACGAGGAAAAGAAGTCAAACGAGGATGGAGAGGAGGATGATGGAGAGGAATAGCATAAACATTGCTTACATTTAAGTTTGAGGATTTATCCTTTATAAAATACACACTACAATTGCTCCTACTTAATGCCGGCGTTTAGCGACAGAAAATCATTCTACAACTTCTCCAATTCCAAATCCAGTTTAATGTTTTATTTAATTACTTTTTTTTTTTGTTTGTTAAATCTTGTTGTGGGCGTATTTTATGGAGAGGGATAGCTTAAGCTCATTTTCTCATTTATAAAATAGGAGAATCGAAATCAAGGATTACCAATTTATTTGCATATATATATATATTATATGTAGCTTGGATACAGTGCGTAAGCAGTACATGATTTGCCCACACTTAGAAGCGTCCACCCTTCTTCTTCTTGTGGCCACCCTTGCGATGCTGTTGCCTCGGTCCTGGTGTCGGCTCCTGGTACACAGGCGTCGCCGGCGAGTTCTTGCTCAGATTGACGCGATTCGACATGTCGCTATGGGGAAAAAGAAAGAAATCTCAATTTAAGATTCACTACGGGGTTAAGGTGACCACTCACTACTGGTCGGCGGCACCGGAGGCCATGCCCTGGGAGCCCTTGATGATGTCCTTGGCGCGAGCACCGCCACGCTTCTTGCGGAAACCGGTGCGTTCGTATTTGGGCAGCCAACGTTCCGGATCAGGAGCCACCTCGTCATTATAATTCTTGGGCAATTTGCCCATGCGCTTGCGATGCGCATTCTTTTTCTTGTCGGTGGCAGGCGTACTCGGCGACGGCTCCACTTTAGCATTGGCCGTCTTCTTCGCTGCCTTGGTGGACATGACCCAGTTGGCCGATTCAAGTGCATCGATCTCCGAGGCAGTTGTCAACGTTTCCAGCTTGGGTAAACGGCGACTGATTTCCAGCGCACGTTTGGGATTGAACTGGGCATAGGCAATGACGAGCTGAGCGAGCACCTTCATATCGTTGGGCTTCAGCTTGAGCAGCTCCTCCAGCGAACTGGCCGCCGTCTCCGAGGCACCACCACGCAAATGAAACTCGGCCGCCTGCCGCCACATGTCGGACAGATCGCCACTACTAACATTATTCAGTTTATACCATTCGACGGCGGATTTGAGGAGAGCCGACGCCGCCGGTTTATTGTCCGTGCCCAGGTAAAGGGAGACGAGTGCCGAGACAACGCCTGGCTTGTACTTGGACTCGCCCAGCGAGAGCAGCGTCTCAATGGCATCCTTGCGATTGCCCTGAAATTACCAAAAACCGGATTAGATTCATCTCTAATCCTAGCATCATGTGCATCCCTCACCTGCAACAGCTGCAATTGAATTATGGCAAATTTACTGACAAATTCGTGCGTTTTGTGCGTTCCGGCAAACTTTTGCAGCTGCTCGATGGCCTCCTTGTGCTTCTTGTCCTTGCCGAGCTGGCTGCAACGGATGAGCAGCGCCTCAAACTCCATCTGCGGGTATGACTGGGCCAGTTTCTGCGTCAACTGCTGCACCTGATCGCTGGCATTGGTATAAAGAGCCAACAAGCAGTTGTTCAAGGCGATTATCTGCTTTTGACGGGAAGTCAACTTGGGCTCACAGGCATCGGCCATTGCGGCGCGTATCTTCTTCTTGGAATCAAAGACATTCTGATCCTTGTTGATGACCACCGCATTATTGCTGGCCACAGCAACCAAAGCCGCATCCTTGGGCTTGTGACGCAAGCAATCCGCATAGATAAGACTTGCTTCCTTAATTTTGCCCTGCTGCTGCAGGCAATAGGCCAACTGCACGCGAATCACATCGACCTCCTCGAGTATCTCCTCCTCGCTAGCGCCCTCCTCTTCGAGGAAATCACGGCACAGCTTCTCGCTGGTGCGCAATTTACGCTCAGCCTCGACATATTTGAGGCGATTGGATTGGATGCAGGCGCTATTGAAGTACTGCTCGTACGTATCTTCCGGTACCTCGGGCACCTCCCTATCCTTGTCCAGCGCCAAGTTGGCGGCCACTGCGCTGAGATTGGTGCGTCGTTCATCCTCGAACTCATCGCTGCTGTTCTTGATGATGCTCTTGTAGGCGTCGAGGCAATCCTCGTAGCGCTCCAGACGGTAGAGGATCTGGGTGCGCAGCTCCTTCAACTTGGGCTCCAGCGGTTGCTCTGTTGCACCATCATCGATGGTTTTTAGAGCCTGCTGCTGTTTGTTTAGGCGATATTCGCAATAGGCTTTCTCAAATGTCAGCACACCATTGAGCCGGTTCTTTTCGATGAACTTGTGCGCCTCATCGAACTTTGATAACTGCATCAAGCAGACAACTTTGCAATGGAGCGCCGTCTGATCCTCTGGTGCAACGCCAAGAACTAGTTCCAAAACACGCACACATGAACATTTACCCTTTCTCACTCACCTCAATACTCACTGCGATTAACGGCTTTGACCGCCTTGTCGTATTCCTGATTGCTGCCAAACTTATGCACATCAGCATAAGCCGCTTTTATAAGCGCCTCTTTCGGGTTTGTGTCTTTCGACATAACGATGAAATATGAAACAAATTAGAAAACTTGACACACTGAACTTTCGCCTCGTTCGCAAGTTTGACAGCTGGACACATCAGCAGCATAAAGTGCCAGTGCTGCCACTTGCCAAAACAATATACAGTGTGACCAGTTTACTTCACTGTGGCGGGCGATAAATAATATCTCTGTTATGCTCAGCTCTAACTCGATAACGATAGTATATCAACAATAGTATTCACTGGCGACGCCTTTGCCAGCTCTCCTGTTTTGCGTGTGTGTTTCTTTTCTGTGTGTAAAATTATTGTCAAAATGTCGGCGGAAGTTGATTTTATCAATAAAAAAGAAGTGCATCTACGCACACTAAAGCAATCGGGGCACGTCGGATTCGACAGTTTGCCGGATCAATTGGTTAATAAAAGCGTACAAAACGGATTCGTTTTCAACGTCATGTGTATTGGTGTGTATGCGTTTCTCTGCATGTTTTGAGTGTGTTGTGTTTGCATGTGTGGGTGTGTGTGTGTGTGTATGCGGCATGAACTGTGTATGCGAGTGTGACGAAGAAAAAGATGTGAAGTTAAGCTGAGAGTGCATTGCTCACAAATTCTTTTGGCATAAACTGGCAGCACTGCATGACTCACTTATGCGTGTGTGTGTGTGTGGTGAATGTATGTGTACATATGTATGTATGCATGTATGTGTAAACAATTGAAATCGGCGCGAGACGAAGCCGATTAATATGCACAAAGCAAAAGTCTAGCAATCGATTTTCATCAATTGCTTTCTATAATTTCACCCTGACACAAATTTACCATTTATGTGGTGCCCAATTGAAAACACTTGAGATGACTTAAGAGTATCTCTCTTTCATACCATATGCTCTGAGGGCATTGTAACTTGATCGTTCAGTTTGTAACGGCGACAAAGGAGCTATAAATAGTGTTGATCAGTACTAAGAACAGAGTCGATATGGAAATAAATAATTATGAAATTATTTATTTTTTAATTTGTATCTCACTGATTTCCTTAAATATTGTTGATCACTATGAAAAACAGAGTCGATATGGGAATACATAAATATAAAATTATTTCTTTTATAATTTGCATCTCAATGATTTTCTTTAGCCCACTTAAAAGAAAAAACCTATTAATATTCTTGATCAGTATCAAGACCTGATCCAATATCAGAATAAATAAATAAATATAAAATTGTTTCCTTTCCGATTTGAATCTCAATGATTTCCCCTAATCAAGTTTAAACAAATGAGCTTTAAATATTCTTGATTAAGACCAGAATCTATATAAAATATAAATTAAAAATTATTTCTATTATAATTTGCATCTCAATAATTTTCCATCTTAGGCGAAACGGGTCTTGGAAAATCGACGTTGATGGATACACTGTTCAACACTAGTTTCGAGTCGACGCCGAGTCCACATACACTGCCCAGCGTCAAATTGAAGGCACACACATACGAGCTACAGGAGAGCAATGTGCGATTGAAGCTAACGATTTGCGATACGGTCGGATATGGCGATCAGATCAACAAGGACGATTCATTCAAGGCCGTGGTCGATTATATTGATGCACAGTTCGAGAACTATTTACAAGAGGAGCTGAAAATCAAGCGATCCTTGGTCACATGCCACGATAGTCGCATCCACATTTGTCTCTACTTCATTTGTCCGACGGGGCACGGTTTGAAATCGCTGGATTTGGTGTGCATGAAGAAACTGGATAGTAAGGTTAATATAATACCCGTTATTGCCAAAGCGGACACAATTTCCAAGGTGGAACTGCAACGTTTCAAGGCAAAGATCATCCAGGAGCTAAACACAAATGGGGTGCACATCTATCAATTCCCCACCGATGATGAAACGGTGGCGGAAACGAATAGCTTGATGAATTCACACATCCCATTCGCTGTTGTCGGCAGCACCGAATTTATTAAGGTGGGCAACAAGTTGATCCGGGCCCGTCAATACCCATGGGGGACCGTTCAGGTGGAGAACGAGACCCATTGCGATTTCGTTAAACTGCGGGAGATGTTGATCCGTACGAATATGGAGGATATGCGCGAGAAGACGCATACGCGACACTATGAACTCTATCGCCAAAAGCGTCTCGAGCAGATGGGCTTCAGTGATGTGGACAGCGATAATAAGCCCGTCTCATTTCAGCAAACTTTCGAAGCGAAACGCTCCAATCATCTCGCTGAGCTGCAGTCCAAGGAGGAGGAAGTGCGTCAGATGTTTGTGCAGCGTGTCAAGGAGAAAGAGGCAGAGCTCAAGGATAGCGAGAAGGATTTGCATTTGAAATTCGAGAAATTGAAGCGAGATCATTCGGAGGAGAAGCGCAAGTTGGAGGAATCACGGAAGGCCCTCGAGGAGGACTATTTGGACTTTCAGAGACGCAAGCAGCAGTTGGCCACGGCACATCATACTCTGACGCTGGGCAAGAGCAAGAAGAAGTAGACGATGAGCGTAGAGATAATCCGCTCAATTGTCTATTAGCTATAAGCAAGCGTCGTCGTCGTCTTCTCGAGAGTATTTTGTGCGTGTTGCGTATATCCCAAAGTATAATTATTGCTTTCTCATCTCGTTGTATTTCATTTATGCTATTAAGTTTATTTCAAATATTAACATATACACACATACATACACACATATATACATATATATGCATATACATACATATAAGTATGATTATTTACAAAACTAACGAATAAACGAACTTAGTATTTTAAAACATTTAAATAGCCGTTTCAATTTCTGAGCAGCGTTGCCACTTCGCTGTGAAACCATGAATCAAACTGAATTCGATTTCACATTACGCACGTCCATTAGCTCAGCTAACGGAATTTGTCATTTCGTGACTTCAAGCAAAACGATAACAAATATCGAAACATCAGCTACTATATGCATTTGTGTGTTTCCACTTATCATATCAGCAGTTATTATTATTATTAAAAAAAGCTGACGGCTTCGTTGACATAGTGGACATTGCTTATGCTGCCAACTAGCGCAATCTGGCTTACAATATTTTTTAGTAGTTAAGTAACTTTTTGTATATTTGTACTCAATATAATTATCAGCTGATAATGGTTTCCAAACAGTGGAAACGCGTTTTTGATTTGCTAAAGAACCAACAAGCAAGTGACTCAAGTGAACGCGGTGGAACTAGCTAAACAACTTTTTTCGTTCATTTAGTTCAATGAGTCGTTCGATCGAACATAATACGCAAGATTTGGCAACTCTAACTTGCAGTGCAAGGAATAAACGAAAACGCAATAATTGTTATTGCAAATTTCTGATAAAGGCGTTCAAATCGAACCCTAAGCAATAAAAAAGTGTTCAGCTTAATACATACATTTTCAAAAGTGGCACAAGCAATACCGAACTTGGCGTGCTTGTTCGTGTGTGTTTCCCATTTTTGGTTTTACTATTTAAGGGGCGGGGTGCAGAGAGGTTTACTGCAAAAAAGTGATTTCTCGATAAATAAGCGTTCTCGGAAATTCCAGACCGCAATTGTTGCTTGTCGCAAAAATGCATCAGAGCAGAAGTAGCAAAACAGTGCTGGCCATTATTCTATACGCTATTTTGCATACAGGTAAAATATGATTATTCAGCTCCACTGCCCCCTCCCCCCAATCAATATTTGCTCGTGCATATTTAATAATATTCAACTCACCCCCTCCCCTCGCTTTTTGTTATAGTTAATTGTAAAGACGTTATAATAACTGCGCCACAACATGCATTGGTCGGCTCCACGGTGAATGTGAGCGCCATTTTATACGATGACAACAAAATTGCCAGCAAGGACTCCTATAAGTTCGAGTGGCAGGATGGAGCGGGAAACAGTAAGGTAAATACAGCTGTGACAAGTGTAAACAAAATGTTTAAATACAGCACTAGAAATGTTTAAAGCGATCACTTGGCAAATTGAACTCAAAAACCTTAAATGAAACAAACACAGTGGTTCCTCGCAAATAAGAACTTCCACCAATTGTAATTTATTCGAAATGCGCAATCTCTATAAAAGTTAAGGCATTAAAAAAAAAACCCAAGTAACAAAATCGTACAGCAAAAGAAAGCAACTAATGCCATATAGAGAGTACAATGGCACAAATTAATATATATGTGATTTCTATGACTAATTGGCTGTACATGCCGCATGCCCTGCGTCAGTCCCATTTCCAATTATTATTATCAAAAACCACTCATCGAATAATTTGCAACAATTGTGTAGTTCAAAGTGCTGCACATGCACATGTGCCTAATAATAATAATAACAATAATAGGTATTTCCAGAGTTAAATTTAGATATCGCTTTAAATGAAAATGTATGTACTCGATAACAAAAAAATTTACAATGCAAATTTTACAAACATTTGACGTCGTTCTGTTTGTCGTGCCTGGTACGTTTTTATACCCTCTTCGCGAGAGGTATTATGAATATGCTATAAGGCAAATATCTGATGATTAAAGATTGTTTGAACACTCCAAATTTAATTACATTTTTAACAATTTTGTGTAAGCACATAAATTGAATTTTCATTTAAGAATTTGACCTGTGCATGAAACTAACACAATTTTCGAAATGCTACTCAATTTAATTCTAAATTAATTAAGATGATATTTTGAGTATATTTTGTTTGTGAAAATGGACAAAGATATGTATATCAAATTTAATTTTCTTCAGTTAACGCAATCCATAGACATCCATGTGACAATTTAAGCATTATATAGTTGTCAAACAGCTTTATATTATAAATTTGTTGGGTATGCAAACAAAAAATATTTACTTATTTATAGACAGTGGTTATCTAGAAGCAGTTAAGCTGCGTCATAGCTGCACCCCTTTATAAAACGAAAATATATAAATAAATTGAAGACTGATTATCATACACACATTCCCTACTGATTATGCACAGCAATTTGTGACGAGCGATCCGATCAGCAATTGGACCATAGACTATGCAAAGAGTACAACAAAATTGGGACATCATCGTCTAGCTGTCAACGTAATGAAAGAGTACATTTTTTGGGTGCTGGTGGCAAAGAGCTCAGTTGAAATTACGGTGGTGGATACGCTCACCGGGAGTCTGCAGCTCATACAGGATGATAAAGCGCGAGTCGAGGACTATGTCTCGACAAAGGAGCCAGTGAATCATAGCATCGAACTGTATCCAGCTGATTCAATGTACTTGAAGGCAAACAATTACTACATAAATACGTACTGGTTTCAAAACTGTACATATCTAGGCATGTCGCATGCCTACAACTATCAAGAAACATATCCCGTTCCGGATAAATACTATGATGTCGAAGTGCTGGTTGTGGCATCTCCATTCCCACCGCCAGAGCCAACAACATCAACAACAACAACGACGACGACAACAACAACAACGACGACCACAACAACAACAACGCCCGCTACAACAACATCCACATCTACAACATCAACTACAACACCAGCAACAACAACAACTACGTCAACAACACCAGCAACAACAACGACAACGCCAGCAACAACAACAACCACTACGTCAACAACACCAAAGCCTTCTCGCCAGAGGCGGGACACAAATCAAACCATGCACGCAAATGCCAGATTACTTGGTCTAAATTTGGCTGCCGCTGTGCAACAACAAATGCAGCAGAACAACAATGGCAACAATAGGAGTGTCAACAAATCATCTGTGGCATTGATAAATCCATTGGGTGTTCTCCGGCCGAGACAGCTGTTGCAGGCGCCGCCACCTCCATACGATTGTGTTGACGGCAACATCATTGCCAAGGATCCAAATAACACTTATGGCTATTTCAAGCGACGAATTGTGACCAAAAGTGAGTGCACAACACTTATTAAGAACTATTCCAACTTTTAGCTTGTTTATAATCGATGTGGAATCTAAATTTCAGTCATTCAGCTTTTATATGCTTTCCTTTGATGAGCCAGTTTCCCAACTTTACTTAATACACTCAAACGTTCCTCTTTGCATTCGCATCAAGTCTTTTATACAAATAAACTTGATCAGCATCAACATCCAACTCTATTTAGTACAGCCTATATGTCGGGAACTATATTTAAACAGCCCTCGCAAATTATCGAATATTGTCGCTGGCATTTTCTTTATTGTTAATTGCGGATGCGTTAAAATGTGAACTATCTCATATAGCATAATCTTTTTGCCAGAGAATTACTTGAGGTTATCCGAAATCAATCAAAACTTAGATTCAGGGTATCTTCTAGATGAGCTCTCGACTAGAGCATTTCTACAAGTAAAATCTATGCTCTTTTGTACATTAGGGTTCATATTATTAAACTTTGTTCGCCTTAGAACTGAAGGTTCTGCCCTGGTATTCTTTTTTTATGCTAACTTCTCTCTGGCCAGGTTCAATGCTTCTCCCTATTATTATAAATGCAACAGTGACCATTTTTGTAATTCTAATTATATATTCCTCTGCGTCTTCGGATCTTTGTTCATAATTATAATTGGGTTTTATTTTGGTGAAAATACTATCTCTGTAAACAATAATTGAATTCTTTCCTGTTCCAACATATCTTTGAATTGTAGCACATCTTTCACTTAATAAAATGATTAATATTATTTTCTTTGCACAACACAGCACCCATTTCGAACTTCTCCTCCAAGGGCAAGGCCTGGCTGCAGCATTGGGAGCTAGTCGATCTACAAATCACCTGCAATGGCTCACCGCCATTCAAAGTCTGCACTCGATATTTTGACGGTATGTCCTTAAATACGTAAAATGAATTTGATTTAGTTTGGCTAATGATTGAATTCTTTCACTATGCAGCGCCTTACAAGATCATCGGCAACGAGACGTGCGACGATGATGTCGAGATAAGGGAAACGTGCGACATTCCTTATGTTCGTTACTTTCTGGAGAGCAAGACAATACTATTTTTCATAAGCAACGACGTCTCTGCGACCGTAAAGCCAGTTGCCATTAACATCTATGAGGGTCAGTAAATGACAAACAAAATTGAAGAGAATCTGATTCTAATTTGTTCAAACTCTTTCGGTAGCCAAGCGACAATCGCAGCTATCAGTCGTTGTAGTGCCCATCACCTGTACTTTGGTGGCCGTTTGTCTGGTCATCTTTGGAGTCGCCTACTATATGCAGAGCCGTAATCGGTGAGCCCTCTTACGAACACCTTTCTGGGTACAAATAACTGTCTAATTTCTCTTATTTTGTTCTTTAGCTTTACGGTGGAAGTGGCTGATTTCAATTTTGGTGATACACAATCGGTGGACATGGAATATAAGACATTCCAGCAGCGTTTAATTGACAGCATACGCGATGCGTGGCCATGGCCCAGGTGGCGTCGGTACTCGCAGTCCAGCACGGATCTCATGGCCGAGCAGCCATCCAATTCGGATGGGTTTGGCGGCGGCAACGTTGGCGACGTCGACAGCAATTTGCGCTACAACACGTTCAACTAAAATCAAAAACAAAAATAGGGCGTCATTGCAAATATTGTTATCTGTATTATTTAACCCAATTTAATTTAAATTTAGTTTATAATTTTGAGTTTCTTTGAAAACGGTGCGTTTCGAATTATTTTTTTTTTTTTCATTTTATTATGCGGTTTTGTTTGGTAATGCGCATACCATCCCTGAATTTACCAATTGTCACGTTTATTATCCACATAAAACGCACATCTGCTCACCAATTGCCAAAATGACATGCAAAAATTAATAGCAAATGCAGCAACTTTATGGAACGCAGCTGAAATTCTCATACATGTTAAAGACTGTCTTTGTTCTAAATACAAAAATTATAACAAGCAAAAGCGAGGAAGGAAAGGATATTTACTTATGCTACAAGAATTGTTTGTATTAATAAGTGTAAGCCTTAAGATATAATGTCATGTTCGTAAGCATAAATATAGAACAGGCAATATGATGGCAAAGACACAGCACATACATACATCAAGTACATACACAAAACTACCAAAACACACAACAACAAAATATAATATTCATTGTGATAGAACTAACAGTATATTTGTATGTTTAAAACAAAAATTTGATCATGATAAAAGCTACTGAAAGTACATGGTTTGTGCCGAACCAAATGAAAAGTCTTAATAGGATGACATTCAATTAAATACACATATGTATATAATATTTAAATGATTGCGTTATTTGAGGTGGTTGTCCAAACATATCTGGCAGTAACTATAGGAATTTGAATACGCCTGCTTTGCGCTCAATTTGGGCGCAGCAAAGAGACTGTTAACGCAAAAACAGCCTGTTAATTGGCAGAGGCGTCTTTATGCGCTTACAGAACACTACGAAACAGTTTGAGTTTGTCTTTTGCAGCTAAAATAATGTTTCTAAATGAAATAGGACAGCCATTAATACTAGACAGTAAAAAAACATATAGCCCCTACGAACGGGCAAGTATAATTAATCTATTCATCAATAATATGTGATAAATTTCATTTACTGTTGCGCTTGTAGCACAATGGACCTATGTTGTTAACATCTGCCGCATTCCAGGAACACAAAGTGCCCACAAGTTTTTGTGACAGGATTATCGGCTGCGCTGAGGATGTGGCTCGATTCCAGCGTGTGCCCGGCGAATCCAAACAGGATTATGTATATCGTATCATCAGGCCAAATGAACCCACCGAAATAGGCAATGACGGAAATACAATGCTGGTGACTTTGATACCAGCGGGAGAAAACGATGTTGGGGAATCTTGTCATTTGTATTACCTGAAAAGTGAGTTGCGCAAATCATAATAAAAAAAAAACAGAATACCCAATTGATATGTGCAAGTGATTGTTTTCCAGCTGACTATGTAAGAGCTTTGATAGTCGATAATTTGACGGGATATTTGGATTTTATACCCAAGGCTGGTGCATTGTTTCATCGCGCTCTCAGCAACGGCATCGATGTCATGTATATCGATGATATTTACTTCGAGTCCAGCGATGATGAGTCGCTTGAGCAACGGGAGCACATTTACGCATTCGCTCAGCTGATAAGGCCCAGATTTCTGTTTGGACTGCGAAAGAACAATTTACCACAGAATCTGCTCGATTTGTGTGTGCAAAAGTATCGAGGCCATAATCAACAACAAACACAAGTATCTTTAACATTGTAATTTACAAAAGGAATCGCCATTGGTATTGGACAACTAAAAAGTGTTTGAACTAATTTTAAATTTGATGCCTTATGCTTTGGTCGCCTTGGCCTTGCTCTTCACTTTCTTTACACGCTTCAGGCCATCCATTTTGCTCTTCATGAACTGGGAATACATCGCCATCATTGTGGGCACATTTTCCTGGCTAACAACTGTGGAAATCTGCAACAAATACATAAGTGAATTGTCAATCAATAAATTATCTCTTACTAGCTGCACATCTGCTTCTGCTTCTATTTCATAAAAACTTGCTGGAATTCTTACACTCCTCTTGCTTATAATTAAGCCCTATATATTACCTTCTTCGATTTGCATTTGGCACGCATTAGGCACATATTGGTTTTCGGCTTTGGCAGCGGCTTTCTACCTGCTCGGGGTACGGGTTTATCGTTTCCATCGTCTAAAAATGAGGAAAAACACACTTTGGAGACAAGTTCAAAGCACACACAGAGCGACTCCAGCAACTTACAGCGCTTGAATGTTATCGTAAATGAGGCATCCTTTTTCGCCTCATTCGCAATCTTCTCCAGCAGCAGTATGAACTGTAAATAAATTCACGTTTATTGAAAAATTCACGTTAAATGCGATTTATTTACGTTCGAATTGTCGAGTAAAACCATTTCGTGGCAGATAAAAGCAGCAGGCGTAAAATGACACTTGTGCGTTATGGCGTTATTTAGTAAATTTTAAACTTAAATGTCACTGTTAATTAACAGCATTACAGACGAAACAAAAATTGGACCAATCGGCTGCTCACTACTCGTATTTGCTGTTAAGTTGGCAGGGCTGGCATTCGGTCTTGCTTCGCCAAAAAAAAAAAGTTTTACATTAATATCCGTAAAAATCGACGAAAACTTACAAGTGCCAGGCAAAAAGCGCGACTGTTGCACGCCCAGAAAAACGCACGCAAAACATAGCCAAGCAGCACAGTCCGCCAAAGCAGAACAGAGCACTAATCGCTACATATATATATATTTTTTTTGGCTGGTGCTGTAAGCAGAAACGATCGAACGACGACCGTCGAGACTGCCGCCAAAGGAAGCGACCGCTTGCCCGCCCCGCGTACTACGCTCCACCCCCCCTCAGCCCAGCAGCCGCAGCAGCAGGCGAAACGACAATAACAAGAGATTGGCCCGGCCCTTTGGCAGCTAGTAAACAACTTACAGCCAACTTACAACAAATAACAAAGTAGCTAAAATGGTAAGCATGCGTCCAAAAATTTACAGCCGGCCTCTGCAGCGGCATAGGACGAACTGATGACGCTGGGCTCAACTTTCGCCTCACTTATGCTCGCAAACACACACAGCTACACATGTACATACACGCACACACGCACATGTGTGTCTGTGTGTGTGTGTGGGGGGTGAATAAGCAAAATGTTGCTGTTGTTGCTATCTGAACTTTGACCGAAATCTTTTGTCATTTTGTTTGTTGACAGGACGTGTTCCTCATGATCAGAAGGCAAAAGACAACCATCTTCACAGATGCTAAGGAAAACACATCAGTTGTCGAACTGAAACGCATGATCGAAGGTGAGTATGAAGGCATGTATGCAACGATGCTGGCCATCTAATTGGGAACACTCATTTCTCATTCGTAAAGCCAATTAAGTGAATGTTATGAAATATAAACAGATATTGTGTGTATAACATAAAATATGGATATATTTTTTATTGAAAAATCCAAAGAAATCTTTGTCAATATTGATCATTTAATTATAATTTTGCCTGAAGTTTTCCTAATTGGTTGGCTACCGCTGTACGTTTATTTCTATGTTGAAGTGTTATTCCTATTAATAGATTATTTTGATTATTAAGTAATTACATATATCAATTTTTATAACAATTTTCAGGCATTTTAAAAGTGCCACCGAACGATCAGCGATTATACAATCAGGACAACGATGTCATGGAGGACGAGCAGACGTTGCAGGACTACGGTGTCACGGTGTCAACGGCGAAGGCGCAAGCACCAGCGCAACTGGGCCTAACATGCAGGTGAGCAACCATTTCCCATTCCTATGCCCATGCCAATGGCATCTGTTATGAAAGCCGCCCTTTGAGTCACCCTGATAAGCGTCTATAATCGTTTAAATGTTGTTCAACATATGTATATATAAAAAACAGTATATATCTATGTATGCATGTATGTATGTATACGCAGCACGTGTACGCGTTTGATACAGTAGTCAATGGAAGATTAGAACTTTAAAAATTAATTATGGTTAAGACAATTGTTAATTGCTATTTAATCTTTTTGAATTATATTCTATTAATGAGAATAATATTTTTTGGTAGATTGGTATTGCTATTTTTGCTAGAAGTGTATTTCAAATTATAAATATTATTTCAAAATCAGAACTATATTAACACAACTTGACAGATTTTTGAATTGACAACAGACTTTTTAGTACTGTTGACATTTTTCATATATGTTCGCAATTGTCATGATGCTATATGTAGCGAGCGAATACTGTATTAAGTTGTTACTTATATAATTTCTCTTCGCTGTTTTGCAGGAACGAATTAGGTGATTTTGATACGCTTGATATTACACCGTATTCAGCACCGCCCGACTTACCGGAAGTGATGAAGAATCAAGAGGCCTCCAACGGACAGGAGCAGGTCGCATAAGAACACAAAGCACAATGAGAAACATTGCACACAACAACATCAAGAAGAACAAGAACAACAATAACAACAAAAACAACAAAAGTAGCTGGAAACAGACTACCATTTAAGCATGCGAGATATAAAACTAAATGTTGAGAGTCAGTCAGTCAAATTTAACCACAATCGCTCGCTTGCTGCCCAAAAACAAAAATTGAAAGTCAAAAACTCTCTCGATGCAAAATGTTTCAAATTGTAACCATTTCAACTCTGCCTGGTCAAGCAACACTAACAAAAACAACAAGAGCAAAACAAACAACAGCAACAATAGCTAAATATGTATGCATTTTTTCGTTGATTATAGCATGAAACAATTTAATTAATGATTATTTGAAATGGGATTCAATCGACCGTTTTTATATTTCACAATACCCATTTAATTCTTGTTTTTTTTTTATTGAATTTGTACGAATTTGTTTAAGTGAAAAGTTACTTTACAACAATTTAAAGAAAATTAATTATGAAAAATGAAAAGTCACACAATTGAAATAGCTTAAAAAAGGAAAACAAAAATGGCAATTGAGGATAATTGAGCATAACGGTGAATATTTAAAATATTGGGATTTAAATTTATTATAATTTATAATCAAATTATGATTATTATTATTATTGTAATAATAAGATTTAATTATTATTAAAAAGGAAAACGAAAAAAATCCAATACCCCACCCCTTAACCCACTTTAATCACTATCATCCATGCCGGATCCGGCAGCCGCTGTGACAGCAGCGACTTCAGCATCATTGGCATCCGTTACACCGCCCTCATCTTCCTCGGCGCTGTCGATGAAGGATGCATTGCTGCTCTGCTGCAGCTCCAAGTGCTCCAGATACTCCTGCAAGCGGTCCTGAAAGAAATTCACATACGTCTGCTTCTGCTGCGCCGTTGCCGGAAAGTAATGGCCACCATTATGCTCGAGTATCTCGACATTCTTAAAGTGGGCTGCCAGCGACTCACTCATCTCCTTCGGGATGATCTCATCCGTTAGGCCATACACATGCAGCGCTGGAATTGTGATGCGCTCCTCATAGGCGCTCATGTGCACCAGACTGCCGGATATGAAGCCAGAGCTGAGCACAGCAAATTCGGGTCGAATAGAGGTCACTGGAAAAGAGAGAGAGCATGAGTAATTAGAACGAGGTTAACTTTTGGTATGGGTAGACAAATCGAGATGAAACCACAACTGGTCACACTCACACTTTTTTTTGGCCAGTCCACAAATGAGGCCCACAAAACAGGCACCCTGCGAGAAGCCAAGCAATCCCTGGAACGGTCCCAGCGTCTTCCAAGCGTCTTCGACGATGCGCAAACTCTCCTGGAAACCATAGGCGGGTCCACCGCGATTGGTGCCCTTGAAGGTGCCATCATCTTTATTGGCCCACCAGCTGCGCTGCTGATCGATTGATCCTTCACCAGATCCTTCGAGGGCAGCAGCAACGTGTGGCGCTGTGATGAACACAAACTCTGCATATTTGCCGGCAAACTTGCGAAACGAGCCCAGCTTGTTCTTAAACGAATCCGCTGCAAATAGTAAATACGTTGAAATTTGCAGCTTAAAGGATAGTTTGGTAAAACAAACCATCTTGTCGGTATCCGTGCAGGCAAAGGACGCGCACCTTCTCTGTAATCTCCACCTTGGAGTTGGATGTTGTTGAGGCAGCGCCACTTGTGCGGCTCGTGCCGGCAGTTTCTGTTTCGTTGTTAGTCATAATGGAAGCAATAACAACAATAAAAAGCACAGCTGCCACAAATTAGCCGCCACAAGACTAGCAACTTTTGTATTTTGAGGTTAAAACGCCGAACAGCTGATTTGGCAAATGCCAGAATTGTTAGCATCAGTTCATGTGGTTCATTTCGATTGAACCAGTTCAATTTGAAAAAGAACAATATTATGCTTTAGGACTTATGCATATTAGATATAAAAATAAAATAATAAAAAAACAGCATACAGATTTATTCAAATCATATCAAAAATAAGTGGTGTTTAATTTAGTGATTTGATTTGATTCTTTCAAATACAAGTTTACGTATATAAATATTTGCTCAAAATCTTGAAGCTATTTTTAAAATTCCTACATTTAATGCCAACCATTCAGTATAATAGTTATCTCAGCTCTACAATTGCATAAGCTAGCTTATTCTTTCGCACTTAGAAAGGGAAATTCTAATTTAGCACCATCTGTGGAGAAATTTAAGATGGTGGCGTCATCTGTGCAAGTCTAAAGCAGATAACAAGCTATTCAGCAAAATTCCAAATTTAACATAGCCCATAAAAGGGAAATGTTATTAAGGGTACAAGTGTAAACACATGTCTGTGCTAGGGAAATAGTAAAGATACATACCTTGCATATGATTTTGCTTGGGCAATTATTTTATTTTCTTTAATATTTCCCTGTCCTATATAACAATGTGGTGCCAAAATGATTTAGTTTCAATTATTTAGCACGGACTCAATTCTGTTATACGATTATATTTGAAGATAACTGGTATATAAATACATTTTTCTGAGCTGTTATAACTTTGTTTATCATGTGTAATTTATTATGGTTTGTGTGTTGCATCCTTGCCTGTTTTTCGACTACATCAATAACTTTGACTGGCTGTGCAAACTTTAACGACAATCGGAGCTAACAGTGTTGGATTCAGCCATCAAATGGGCATCCAAACTGAATGTTACATTGTTAGATACCCGCATAAGCACTGAACTGATTGATGTTCGTTATTTTTTTATTATTTTTTTTGGCTGGCCATTTAGACGTTTGAGCACGTTGCATGCCAGCCAAATTGGTTACACAGTTATACAGTTACACAGTTAACGGTTAAAGAGCACATTCAAAGAGTCAACTGCCACACACACAATCCTCAATTCCCAAATGGTAGGCGTGAAATTGAATTGGGCACAAATTTTTGTCACATTTTCGACTGTGGTGCAGTGTTGCCAATTTGGCTCTTAAATAGCTAGTTTTAAGGCACTTATTAGAATAAAAACTAAGTAGCAAATATTCAAATGCACTTAAGGCTTCTATAACATGTGCACAACAATGCTTTTAATAGTTTTTTTTTTGTTATTAATTTTAGCAATTTTTTTCTCTTATATTTTGAAAACTTTTTATTTTTTCTATCAAGTTTTGTTTGGTCAATTTTGCATTCGTTGCCTTTGCAATTTAGGCAGCACTGCTGCGCATATATGTGCTATACGTATATATATATATATCCCCCCACCCCTCCCATACCCTGCCTCTCACTCTTTGTGTCGGACTGTTTGACATATCGTAATATTAATTTGCTGATTTATTAGCATCAACCCTCCACAGACGGCGACGATAAATTTTAATGTAATTTGAATAAATGCGTGCGAATATCGCATTTCATTTTGTTTTGTTGTCGTACATACATACATACATACATGCGTACATCGTACAGACAAATGTACATAAAATGCTGGAACTAAATATTAGCCTTAAATGTCCTGTTATGGGCCCGTAAATTGGGGGACAGCTATTTAAAAGTTATGCGTAAATTGCTAAATGCAAATTGTGAATATTTATGTGATGCTCACTTTTGTTACATTGCACATTTTGTATATGTGTGTGTGTGTGTCTGTGTGTATGTGTCTGTGTGTGTGTCTGTGTGTGTGTCTGTGTGTGTGTCTGTGTGTGTGTGTCTGTGTGTGTGTGTGTATGTGTGTTTAATCTCAAAATGTGCTTAAATGCAATCTTTTTTTGTATATGTTTTGTACATTCGCATTAGAAGAAGCATGTTCGCTGTTGCTGTTGTGGGCGTCTATTCGACACATATGTAAATTTGTCTGTCTGCTAAAGATAAGCAACAAGTGAGAACAGTAATTTAGATATGCACTTATCCAGCACAACATGTCAGTTGACAGTCGCCGCTGGTGGAACTCTTAACGTGTACGCATCAAATTGCGCACGGAAAATGCTGTTTTTAACGCCAGCGAATTCGATGCGAAGACAACAAACTTGATCGCGATACACACTCACAAAAAAACATATATATATATATATATATATATATATATATATATGTGTGTGTGTGTGAGTGTGTGCATTTCTGTCAAGTGCAATCCGATAAAATTACGCATAAGTTTCTCACCCTGCAAAAATTGTTAACTGTGAATGGTACAAAATGAAGGACAGCATCGATAAGGATTTGCTGGCGATTAAGACGCATTACTTTCTGTTTAATGCCGGCACCGCACCCGTTGTACCCTTTATGCCACAACTGGCACAACAGCTCGGCTATTCCCCGGTCGTTGTGGGCACCATGTACACGATACTGCCCATCATTGGTTTGCTGGCGAAGCCAATCTTTGGCTATATTGCCGATCATTATCAGCGGCATCAATTGCTCTTTCTGGCCGGGCAACTGTTCACTGCCATTGCCTTTTTCCTGATCATGTTTGTGCCGGCGGTGGAGAGGCCACAACTCCATTGTCATGCTGGCGTTACGAACATCCAATATTGCTCAGGCAGCAGAGCAGCGGACATGAAGACACAGCTGGAGACGCACTATGGCAATCGGACGCTGAGCTGCAGCATGCGCTGCCAAATGGAGCCCACAATGTGGGACATTGTCTGCCAGTATTGGCTGACGAACGCAACAAGCAACTGTGCCGCAAATCGCACGAAATCTTGGATCGATTTGAGCACCTACATAACAGCGAGAGAAATCCTGGAGAGTGCCAATTGTCTACACTTGATGATACCACACAATTTGGGCACACTGGACGCACAAAATGTGACCATGTATTGTCCCCAGAACAAGGCGAGGTTCAAGCCCAGTTGCCAGATGGACTGCCAGGAGGAGTATCTGAAAGAAGTGCTACCCAAGAGCAATGTGATCAACATGAGCAGCGCAATGGCTATGCCCGAATTCTGGTTCTTCTTTGGCCTCCTCATCGTCAGCTGGGTGGGCATGGCTGTTGTTGTCAGCATTGGCGATGCCACTTGTTTTGGCATTCTCGGTGATCGTCATCAGTTGCATGGCAGGCAGAGGTTATGTGGCTCCCTGGGTTGGGGCATCCTTGCACTGGTCGCTGGCCTCTTGGTGGACACAATGTCCAACGAGGGCGGCACGGACAAGAATTACACGATTGTCTTTTGGATGACGCTTATTATAATCGGCTTCGATATGCTCGCCTCCACGAAGCTAAAGCACACACAGACGATCATGTCGGCGAATATACTCAAGGATGTGGGTCAAATGTTTCTATCGATGCGTTGCGTTGTCTTCTTTCTCTGGTTTTTGGCCATTGGATTGGGCCGGGCTCTGATTTGGAATTTTCTCTTCATCTATTTGGAGGAGCTGGCCGAGCTCTTTGACAATGGCAACGATTACATTAAGACGTTGGAGGGCCTGGTCATGAGCATCCAGTGCCTTGGCGGTGATCTACCATTTTTCTTCGTGTCCGGCTGGATATTGAAGCGGATTGGACACGTGAATGCGATGAATCTGGTGCTCTTTGGATTTTGTGTGCGTTTCATTTTGTACTCGATGCTGCAGCATCCATGGTATATTCTGCCCATTGAGCTGCTGAATGGCGTCACCTTTGGCCTCTTCTATGCAACGATGGCCTCGTTTGCCAGGATCGTGGCACCACCGGGCACCGAGGCCACCATGCTGACTCGGATGGGTGCCATCTTTGAGGGCGTTGGCGTCTCCTTGGGCAGCCAAATTGGTGGCCAGCTTTTTGTCGCCGTCAGTGCGCGGACAACGTTTGAGATCTTTGGCATTGGTGCGTTCATTGCGTTCATTGTCCACGTCTGCGTCCAAATTTATCTGCAACGCAATGATCCACCTGAAAATGGCACTGTCAAATATGTTGCACAGACAGACAGACCGGAAAATACAAGTTTTGCTAGCTAAGCTGCCTGCCATTTCTTCTTTCTCTTCTTGTTGTTCTATGATCTACCGATATATATACATACCATATATATCCTTTGTCAGCGATTATCCAACACTTGTTGCAACAACAAGAACTAATTAAATAACTTTTTAATTGTATTTCTAATGTTTATATCTAGTTGTACTTCACACACACACAACACTCACACTTATATTAGTGCATGTTCGCATACTAATTCCAAGCATCTGCGAAGTTTATGCGTATTATAATATCGTGATATCTCTTTTTAGTCCAATTATCTTTCGTAATTTCAAACGTTATCACGTTAAGTCAACCCATAAACGTAGTATTAAAAATTGTATCGAAAACTTTGTAATTGTCACGTTTAATATTTAAATACTTAAAGCTCATTCTTGTTAATTCATTTTATTATATATTGTGAAATCTCAAAAGAATTTACCAAATTATACAAAAATATATGGGAAAAAAGAATTAAATACAAAAATGCATTTCCGGGGCAGCAACAAAACAACTCATTAAAAATGCACACGCATTGAGCAGAGTGTAATAGTATGCAATTCACAAAAAGCCAACAAAACCCACAAAAGTGCGGCACCAAACACGCACACACACACGCACACACACACACACACGCACACACACACACACGCACACATACATACACATATTTACAGTGCACGCTCAATACACAAAACCAATTTAAGTCAGTTGTATTCTCTTTACTTAAATAGTTTCTGCAATAACTGTTTTCCCATTCATGGTTACAAATATTTGAAAGAAAGAAAGATTCGAATGGTCTGGAGAGACAGCTCGACTAGCAGATACCCTACACATAAATACACGTAGTAATCAATAATAGTTTGCTTAAAATTAAAAAGCATCATTATTTTTAAACACAAATTGTGTATTTTATATTATCTTGATGAAAATTGTACAGTTGACATGTTATTGTCTGGCTAAATTATATATATATGTATACATATATATATATATATATAAGTGTTGAAAGGTTATGCTTTAAAATTGTGTTTTTTATAGCTATCCGAAATCGATTTGCATTGATATTCGCTAAACGATAAAAAATTAAATAAACTTGATCCGCAATATTATACGATAAATTATTATTAACGGACATGATCTAGAATATCTATGTAGATACATATACTTTATGTGGTCCGCGTTGCTTCTGTCTTCTAATTACTTCTGTTTTTTGCATAGTTTTCCTCAAGTTCAACAAACTGTTTTTCCCCATTTCCAACACAAAACAAATGCATTAAACTTGATTACTGAGAAACATTTTCGAAGATTGAGTCACGCCCCCGTTGCACAAAGATGGCGCTGAGGAATATGAAAGGTGGATTCACTCTCGAAAGTTGTCAATGTAAACATATAAAATATTTAATCTGACATAATCGTGTGTTCTTTCTTTCTGGCGTGCACTGTGCATACAAATTGAGCAACCGCAGAAAACTCAACTTTGCACAACAGATGCACCGATACAGACAAAAATTTAAACACACACACACACACTCGCACACACACACACACACACACACACACACACACACACACACACACACACACACACACACACACACACACACACACACACACACACACACACACACACACTCGCACACACACACACATGTAAAGACGTGCAGTCGATAGAAGAGTGTTGAATATTTTATGCTGCCTGATATTTTACGCTTGTAAATCACAAACAAAACCACAGACAGCCCGCTCAGACAGTGGATGGGGGAGTGGTGCGGTTAAACCAAAAAGTTGGCAAAAGCATTTCGTGCAGCTTAGAGAGGTCCATGGCAAACAACTAAAACCTAAACTCCATGTATGATGTATGCTTTGTCTGTGGTCTGGCGGCCAACGTATTTAATATTTAAATCAAATTCCTCGACATGAATTCTGTTTTGGTCTGGAAGATGTTTGGAAATATTTGTCAGGTGCTGGCATCTCGCATAAGTTTACTTTAGCGTGAAATAAATTAATATTCATAAATCACATTAATTGCATTGAAATCTGCCCGAGGCATAAATATCTGCCATATTACCACAATGAAAGAGCATCGCCATGGTTTGGGTTTGCCCAGGTGCTGATGGGTTGGCAACAAAATTTGCAACAATATATTTGGCATATTCAAATCGTAGATGCATACAATGCAGCTATTTGCTGCTTATTTGATTTATAATTATTACTTTAGTTATAAATTCAAATAATCGTATATTTAACAAGTTTGAATGCTCTAGTCGAGAGACCTCGACCGGGAGATACCCTGAACGAAAGATTTGACCATCTTAAGATGATTCTTAACTTGTATTGATGAAATTTTGCCGATGCTCAATATTATGTCCAGGTATACTCGAAAAAATCTATATTTTATAAATAGTTGCTTTTAAGTTTTCAATTAAATGAAATTTAATTAATTTGCGTCTGGAGCGCTTTCTAGATCTTAAATACTTAATGACTTCGGAGATACTTTTTCAGCTTGTTATATACTTTTGCAAAAGCTTACTATGCTCTTTTTACCAGTTTGAAATGGGTTCACGATATAAAAATAAGTTAATTGTGCTTTGATTTTGTTGTTTATCGTTGGATTTAAAATCACATTAATTATTTTTGCTGTCGACTTAAGCACACTCAATTGCAATATATTAATTTGCGCTGCGGTTTATCGAATAGTTTACTGCATTACTAAATTATTAACAAAAAAAATGATTAATGATTAAATGGTTTGACAGTGTATTGTGTTTAAATATTTAAATTCTATTGTATTACTGTGGGGGCCAAACATGATCTGAATTTGATTTTTTGTAGTGCTTTTATTTAATTTTCACTTAAAAAATTACTAAAATTACTAAAGCTTAAGATTCAAGAATGAAGCATTTTTTAATAAAGAATCACAATTTTTTCTTTTATTTTCATAAATATTAAGAATACCACAAGAGGATTGCAATAATATTAAATTTTGTTATATTTTGTTGCTTTCCCCATATTCACACGCAAGAATTCCAATTTTTTTTTGACACAAAAAACATTTTGTCTACTCGTGTGGCACGTGCTAAATTCCGAATTGATATTGGATGACAGTCAAGTTAACTTGTTGGCTCAGGCACTTCAATTTGTGTACATACTTGACCTTGGCCAGCTAAATGTAACAAACACCTTGTGCACAACGCACTTAACCCTTTGGGCTAATACAAATGGCCCAAGCGATTTGCAGCTGGTTTTGGCTTTTGGCTGCTTTTCGCTGTCATTTTGAATGCTTTACGCTCGATTGAGTGTTTATTTGATTTCTCATTTGTGTCGCACAACTAACTTGCTTCGACTACTTTTACCTTCTAATCTCTTCCTTTTTCTTTCTTTCTCTATTTCTCTCTCTCTCTCTCTTTCTTTCGTTATTGTGGCACTTTCCTTTTGGCCATTGAGTCAGCTACTTGAGCAAATTGTTGCTGATGGAGCTTTGGCTCCATTGTAATTCGAGTTCTGTGGCCAGCAGTTAGCCACACTTGATTGGTTAGTCGAGACTGTTGGATTTCTTGCTTTTGGTTTTTGTTTTTACACTCCATTTTTTCTGGTTTGTGTGAGTTGCAATGACTGTTTTTGGGTTTGCTCACCCCAATTTCTAAGTAATGAGACAGCAGAAGTTAATGGAACTTCTTTCTGTTGAGCAACCAGTAAATGGTCTTAAAGACACGCAACGCAACACTGTTGGAATGCTTTTCTAATACCCTGAAAATGGATCAAATAGGGTAGCATAAAATTGTGCAACCATCTAAGATTACATGAACTATATATTTTCGTGATCTGTATCAAAAGCTGAGTCGATACAGTAACACATTTTTCTCTGCCTGTCTGCCTATCAAAGAACTAGAGTATAAAAGTTCTGGTCTATTAATTTAGTGTTTTCAATAGTTAACGCTGTTTTCAAATAATGGATAAAAAACGATTACAAATTGAACCATTTTAATAACTTAGTCTTAGTGTTTCACTTTGGTATAATATTGATAACATATTTACATCAAAGTTCTTTTCGGTAAAGTTTGTGAGATTTCAGTTTTGTTTTATCATAGATGAAGATTTGAAAGTACAGGGTATCCGTAGTCAAGTTCTTTCGGCAAGAGTACACATTCGCGTTTAACGCAACTCTTTTATTGTATTTTCTCTGTAACATTTAGCCAGCTAAAGCCATTTGTTGTCGCTGTCCGTGCAAACACTACAGTGAATTGCTTGCAGCTGATATAGTGGGCAATATTGCGCATACGCCGCGTGTACATAAAACACTCCAGATGTGCGACGTGCACAGATCGAACTTCACAGCATGAATGAATGCTGCGTGGCGTATAGCCAATTTATTGTTTACTTGTGCCACGTGTTATCCATTAAAACAATCAAACAATAATTGTCCTCAGTCATCAAATTACGGACAGCAGCCAACTTGCCAACTTTCTTCTTTAAGCAACATTAAAGCGAAGTGCAATTATTTTTCGTTTTTCATTTCGAAGTTAACAGCAATATTCAGTAGCTTTTAAAATCAGTTGTCTTTTATTATTTAAGTGTCCATTGAAGCAGCGCAAATAGCCAAAAGTTTAATGATTAAAATGCTGAACATGCGGTTAATTCTTATCTGTTAAACTGTTCTTGAACTGTTGGTAAATTTTATTATTTAAAGTGTCTCGTTTCGAAAACATCAAATTTGTCTATACGAAAGACTGTTAAAGCTAGATTTCGAGATAAGTTTACTTAGGTTTATTAGCGATTAAATGCTTAACATTTAAATTATAATAAAAACAGTCGTTTAGACAAACTTAATAATAATAACACTACGTAACAAAATCATTATATATATAAATATAAATCAACATATATGTGTATATAATATATATCTATAAAAAATTAAATGTTGAGGTAATACTTTAAATTTCTTTTTAAAGAGTTTAAAGTTTTTTTTTTTCAGAACTTAAATATATTAAAATTTCTAATAACTTAATAAAAGTATCTAATGGCATATTTAAGTTCTTAATATAATTATTTATTTTGTCGCTTCCCAGGATTTGATATTGAAATTTATCTTATAATTTTAGTT